AATCCCTCAAATTTATGTAATGTAGACTTTTGACATGTCACTAATTAAGCAAGAAGACATGATAGCCTGTATATTTCATGAAGATCATTGCAAATTTTAAGATATAAGGCCAGAAGGCTTATGCCTTCAATCACCTGATATGTGCAGTAATCCAGAAGAATAGACTGTCGGGTTAGTGGGTTTTTTATTACAGTGTGGCTCTTGGTCTTTGGATATGTAATGTAGACTTTTGACATGTCACTAATTAAGCAAGAAGACATGATAGCCTGTATATTTCATGAAGATCATTGCAAATTTTAAGATATAAGGCCAGAAGGCTTATGCCTTCAATCACCTGATATGTGCAGTAATCCAGAAGAATAGACTGTCGGGTTAGTGGGTTTTTTATTACAGTGTGGCTCTTGGTCTTTGGAAATGTGAAGTGACATTTTCTTAGCTGATTTTGTATATTAATTATGTAAATGCATTACTGTATAGACCAGTTAATCTAAAATGACAGGAGAAATCAACAGATGGCATTTAAAAAATATTTATTTTGAAAGTTTAATGTGTTCAAATGTAGTTTTTTTGTGGAAAAATTCTGTGAAAGGTAATAAATTATTTTAATGCAAGCATAATACTACTAAAACTTTCTTTTCCTGCAGCACCTAGTCATTCAGATATATTGTTTAGTCTTTTCCTGTTTCTTTAGATCAGTACTTTGAGGAGATACTATTCTGAACTATCATCCTTTAGTCAGGTATTGTGATTAGGTCAATATTCTAGAAAGTTGGAAAGGCAAGTCGAGAGGAGGCCACAAAGTTGCTAAGAGGACTGGAGCACCTCCCCTATGAGGACAGGCTGAGGAAGTTGGGGCTGTTCAGCCTGGAGAATGGAAGACTGCATGGAGACCTCATAGCAACTTCAATATCTGAAGGGGCTGCAAGGGAGACGGAGTGGGGCTCCTTGTTAGGAACTGCAGTGATAGGACAAGGGGGAATGGATTCAAACTGAAGGAGGGGAAGGTTAGGTTAGATACTGGAAAAACTTTTTTTACTATAAAGGTGGTGAGACATTGGAACAGGTTGCCCAGGGATGTGGTGGCTGCCCCAACCCTGGCAGTGTTCAAGGCCAGGCTGAATGAGGCCTTGAGCAACCTGATCTAGTGAGGACATGTCCCTGCCCATGGCAGGGAGTTGGGACTAGATGATATGTAAGGTCCATGCCAACCCTTAAATTCTATGATTCTATGATTCTTAAGTCTGCATGCTACACACATAATAATAGATGATCATATTTGTTAAACTTGGCTTCTGTTTTATCATTAATAATTAATGGTATCATTGTTGTCCTTTGTCCTGTTCTCCTTGAGAGCATTCAGCATCCATGCTGATACAGAGCAAAACAGTCATTGTATTTGTAATACAGAGGAGACAGATTCAAATGCAGGTTTGAAAAAGGGGAAGTGAATGTAGTTTGGAGGCAGATAATACTGAAATAATAGTGTCGGAAGAGTCAGAATTGTGGTGGGTTTTTTAATTCAATTTTTCACAACTTAAGATTAATTATAGATGCCATTATCTCTATCTTACTGTAGATTTTGAAAATGTCAAAAGGAACATATAATATTCAGAATGGTTACTCGGTGACACTTGAGAAAGGTTATGAAAACAATGTTACCTTTTTTCTCTCTAAAAGGGAAACATGTAAAGAGAGGAATCATGTCATTTCTTTAGAACTGTATTTCCAACACCACGCAAATATATTTATAGTATTGTCATTTTTTTTTGAAAGCTGAAATAATTTCTTCAGAAAAGACTGAAAACTTACGACAGCAGCTACTCAGTTAGGATTTAAAAGTCTTTCTGAGACCAGAATCTAGTTTAGAAATAATTACCTGGAAGCTTTAGCTATTACATAGCATTTAGCATTAGAAAGAGACCGCTAGGTAAGGGTATTTATATAGGTTTGATATATAGTCTTTTAAATCAAGTCATAATTTATGGTGTTGGAACACATTCAGGAATCTGCTAGCTAAATTTAGTTGCTGGTTCTGCTTTGTTTTATTTTACAGTGCTTATATTTTTAATTTACAAAGGCTTCTCTATCAGCTTTAATGTAAAGAGGCTAAGGATTAACAATGATTAAGGCTTCTTCCTAATTAAAGGCATATTAATTTAAAAAAAGACACTGCCATCTCCAGGAATCTGAAAGTGTGTCCTTTTAAGGGTTTTTTAATTTGCTATGACTGGTGAAATAGCAGTGCAGTCAGAGCTATACATTTCTGGGACTTGGCTGCATCCACAATAAACTCAGCTATGTTTTACACAGAGTACTGTCTCTAAAGTGCCTCACTGGATAGGTTGTATCTGATTAACCAGTCTTCTACTAGACCACTACCATATTTCTACTGTGAAAGACTGAAACAATTGATTGTTAGGCAAGGTAATATATATGATGGAGGGGAAAAGGATAAAAGAAAGACAGAAAAAATAACTCTACAGACAGAATGCTTTTAAAAGCAGTTTTTTCTCCTGTATGTTCATCAAAGGAAAGTATTAGTAAAGAGCAGTCTCTCAAAACTTTTTAAATTACATATTAGAATTCTGTATTATATTTTAATTATTTAAGGAGAAAGCTGTCCTCCACCATCCTTGCTTAAAGTTCAGGTGATCTCCAGAGGTCCCTTTCAACCCTAACTATGCTGTGATACTGTGATTTTTTTTGTGAGTCAGATCTAGAGAAACGAACAGAGGATTCCTCTCTCAGTGTCACCTACAGAGTCTTTTATAATGTTTAATAGACTTCTAAATTAAATAAATTTTTCTTATTCTCCATATTATATTTGCATGTAAAATGTGGATTGTCATCTTGGACAACAGTGTAGTTAATTCCCATTTAATGTCAAATCAGTGTCACAGCTACACTTAAAGTTGAACATGTTCCTAGGAGTTAGTTTAAGCACATTTATAATTCTCATAAATCTTCTCTGTATTTAAGAGCACTTAATGGTCATTAAATACTTTTTATTTCACAAAATAGTGAAATATTTTCATGGAATAAATATAGTTTTCTGGGCTGTAGTCTTTTTCTTTCTGTAAATCATGTCAGTTGATTTCTGTCATCTACAGAAGGTAGACTCTAATGGAATTGTTATCTTCTTCCTGAGTGACTATTGCTCTTCAGAACCAGTTCTGGTTCTTAAGATTACAGATGGAATAATAACTGCTTGCTTTTATAGTCTGAAAATGCTTTTAAAGAAAGCAAAGGACTCTGATTTTTTGAGATATTTTAATTGTCTTGAGTCTCAAATACAAAAGCATTTCTCCCCTGTAGGCTTCATCAACCAGTATAAGTGAATGCAATTAGGTTTATGTTAGATTCTCCTGTTTAAAACTGGTCATTTCAGGTAGTTTCAAATGACATAGAAACTAGATTTTTTTATTATTCCTCTTTACTCCAGTCTATGATGTGAAACTGTGTTTCTCATTCAATAAAGATACTGTCAGTGCATTTCTAAACATAGATTCACAGGTGTATTTGAAAAAAAAGTTGAATATAATTAAAGGCCAGTGAACATTAAAGAGAATTAAATTATCAAAATAACTTTCAATATAACTACCAAAATCTAAATTTAGTATTTAGAGAAGAGATGAAAGTTTGGGGAAAATGATTTGATTTTGTAAAGTTCAGGCTACCTATGTGCTATCTGAGGGAAAACATTCTGATTCGATCTCTTCTGTGAAAATACATTGTGGCATGAAAAAGATCCACTGTGTGCTATGAGAAATGCTGTCATGTTTCCTGGCTTATAAAATCTATCAGTCCCACAGATCAGAACTGTGGCTTCTATTATAGACAACATTTGAGAGTGAGATAAGATTTTCCAAAGTGTCACATAAAAACGAAATATAAATATCGACTTACATAGCATCTAGGTATTTTCTTTGAGATGTTAGAAGTGTTACTCTAGGAAAAGATTTGAATGTTTTAAAATAATTATTTCTGTTACTTTATATGAAAACTGCTTCTATCTAAATGGATAAGAAAACAAGTAGCATATATCTTATGGGACGTTTCTGCTCTTAAAGGAAATTAACAAAATAAAATTTTAAGTTTGCACCAATTGCCAATAAAATTTAAGTCAAATTAAAAATACAATTAATTAATATTCACTGAACCTGTCAATGGATTGTTATTTATGTCAGCTCATTTTTAACTAGCTTTATTAAACAGCACTGTAGAAAACATCCATCCCAAAAAGGTTCAGTGTTTCAAATATGCTTTCAAATTTCAGAACTATCTGTTACTGTGTCTTTGAATGGTAGAAATACATAGGTGACTCAGATACTGAGTTTTTGCATCAGGTATTTAACTTGCTAGCATTGTAAAATTCTTTTCTTTTAAATAGAGCTATGATGAACTTCAGAAAATATTTGTTTGGAAAAACCGTAGCAGTACAAAATAAAATATGCTTGAATATACTCCAGTTGAGCAACTATTTAAGCTGGAGGGTTTCTTGGAAAAGTGTGTATCCTAATCATAAGCAAAATTGTCACGATTATATACCATTAAAGGATAAAACATCAAAACTAGCAAGCAATGGAGTCAATTTATTGACTTTTTCAAAGTTGCTGCTTAAGAGAATGTTACAATGCATAGCTGCAGTCTAGATGACCAAAGTGAAATATGTATCATTGAGGGAGGAAAGTCCTCTAAAAGCCCTTTAGGGAGTGTAAACGTATCTGTAACTGAGAAGCAAACCACTCATTCACTTTGCTGTTATTGTGAAGACACATGTCTTACAGCAGACTTCTAGGCCAAGAGGCAACAGCCTATCATACTTTCTAAATTGGAATACTTTGGATATTATGCATGTTTCCTCATTAGGGCTGTGTAGCTATACTGTGCTAAGAGTCTTATACGGTCTGCTTTATTCCTGTGTAAAGATACTAGTACTTTCTTCAATTTCTGTTAACCTCTGGATATCACTGACTTTTCCCAAAGTGTTGATATGCAATATTTTCTTATACTGCATTAAAATTTTCTTCCTTTGATTTATGCACAGAAAATAATTACCAGTTTTTTAAAAGATAAACATATATTTGAAATTCTGTATCCTTGGGGCAGGGACTGCCTCTCATTAAATGTTTATAAAGTGCCTAATATAATCAAGCCAGGAGCTGTTTGACTGCTATGTATGCTGCAGTCCAAATATTTAATAAGAATAACAACAGTTCTGTAGTCAATTTGATCTTACTTTTGATATTTACAAGTGTTTTCCTAACGCACACTGCAGATTTCTGCAATTTGAAGGGATTCAGGCTCAAATTCTCAGTCTGTTTGATTCTATCATATCCATCTGCATCCATATCCATCCAGGCTGTTGTGTATGCTCTACTCTTATACCAGTACCAGGCAGCATCAGTGAGCACAGCTGTGGGAGGTGCACCCAGGTAGAGGAACTCCTTCGCTTAGTGACAGAGTTCTGGGAGGAGGTAGGTAGGTTGAAGAGTAGCAGGGATAGAGAGAGAGAGAGTACTGGAATGGCGCCCTATGTTCTTTGGGAGAGGCACAACAGGCAGACAGGTCACATGACATGGAGGATTCTCTGTCCCTTCTCTGCCTGGCCGAACACAGGGACTCAAGGGATAGGGGGCAATAGTGTAAGTTCCTTCCCTGGCCCAGCAGGCACAACTCCTCTGGGACTGCCTCACCTTCCCAAGTGCCCTTATACAATAGGTATGAGGCTCTGCAAGTGGTACCGAACAATAACAAGGATGATGGTTCATTTAGCATAAAGGTGTTCTGAAGGTTAAGTTGACCTGCACCCTGCATCAAAACTGCTTCTATAAAGAAAAAAAGACTGGTCATTGTAATAGGAAACTCCATTTGTCAGAGAACAGAAGGCTCAACATGCAGACTGGACCTGGGAAAGTCTGAGGCCTCCCTGGTGCCTGGGTTATAGATGTGAAGAGAAAGCTTCCTACCCTGGTACAGCCCTCAGACTCTTATCCAACATCTGTTTTTCAGGTAGGCAGCGATGAAATCCAAACAAGAAGTCTGGGGACAATCAAGATAGACTTCAGGGCCTTGGGACAGCTGGTTAGGGATCAGGAGTGGAAGTAGTTCTTTCCTCTATCCTTTCGGTTGCAGAGAATGATAAGGGAAGAAACAGGAAGAGCCAGGTCTGAGCCTGATATCACCTGCAGGATTTGGAGTTCTTGATCATGGGTTGGTTTACATGACATGAGGCCTGCTGGTACCACACAGTTTCCACCTGCGTCAAAGGGGAAAAAGGATCTTTGCACAGGAGTTATCAGTGCTCATTGAAAGAGTTTAAAATTAGATTTAAAGGGGGAAAGGGATCCAACCAGGCTCCTTAGAGATTGGTCTGGACACAGCATGCCACCGTTTGAGAGATGGTGTGCTAATAAGGTACTTCAGTCTGTTGTCTTGGTAGAGGTAGGGGCTAGAGATCCACGTGGGTGATGTAATGGCTGGAGGCTGTCTTGGGCACAGCATTCATGAAATTGAGTTTTCAGTTCTCAGGGAAGTAAGGAGAGAGGTCAGCAGAACTGCTGCCTTGGACTTGCAGAGGGCAGATGTGCTGTTTAGGAGCCTGGTTGACATAGTCCCTTGGGAGGCAGGCCTGAATTGTGGTGGGATCCAGGTAGGCTGAACATTCATCAAGAAGGAAATCTTACAGGTGTAGGAGCAGGCCAGTCCTGTGTGCTGAAAGATGAGCTAGCAGACAGGTGTGACTGAACAGAGATCTTAGGCTGGAACTCAGGACAAAAAAAAAAGTTTATAACCAGTGGAGGTTATGCAGAGAGAAAATAAGAAGGGCCAAAGCCAAAGTAGGACTTAATCTGGCTACTGCCATAAAATACAGTAAAGTTTGTTTCTAATAAATATGTCAGCACATAAAGGAGGACTAAGGACAGTCTCCATCCTTTACTGAGTATGAGGAGAAATATAGTGACAAAGGCTAAGGAAAAGACTGAGGTACTTAATGCCTTCTTTGTCTCTGTCTTTAATAGTAAGATCAATTGTTCTTGGAATACTCATTCCTTTGAGATGCAGACTGGGATGGGGAGCAGAATGAAGCCACCATAATTCAAGGGGAAATGGTCAGGGACCTTCTACACCACTTGGACACAGACAAGTCTATAGTGTCAGATAGGATCCACCCAAAAGGTGGTTGAACAGCCATTTCCATTTACATGACATGCTCTGCATGCCTCAAAATAAGGTTTCTCATCCTCTAGGACAGCTTCTACAGTCAGGAAGAACTATTCCTGGAAGTGTGTACAATTTGTTGGTTAAAGATTAAGAAGCTGTGACTTCTGTCAATGATTAATTTTTATGTCCCTTAATTATTAGTGTGTGTATTAATAATTAATTTTATTAATTTGCATTAATTCATTCATATGAATGAATATAAATATTCATTCATGTTTGTATGAATGACTAATAATTATTGTACTGAAAATTACAAGTGTTAATGATAATTTCCCTATTAGTTCAATTAGCAACTATTTTTGTGTATGACAGTTTAGTCACATGAATAAATCTATATGTTGGAACCCCAGAGCTTCCTCTTCCAGTCACTCCTGTGTGAAAATGAATAATGCCTGTTTCTCTGTAAAAGAATATTTTCCTACCTGAGACTTGGACCGACTCTTTAAAATTGTATCTAGAAGTCTCTCTTTGCTAAACCAGCCTTAGAACATCTACCCACCAAAGCATAATTTGGAACATCCAACCACTTTGCTGGAATGTAATGTTGCATTGATGGGCTTTGGTCCACAGATTAATATGCTCAGAAACAATATAAAATTATGTGCAGCCTGGTGACTACAATAGGGATTAGCAGATAAGAAGTGTGGAATTCAGTCTGTATTTTCATTTAACTTGGAATCACTCTATGGTGTGCAGTAGTGCATTTATACTTTGGGCTCTCTAATTGTTGTCTTTCAGTAGTGTCAGTATGCTGTTCACAAGCATGCCAAGAAGTGTGAAGGGAGATTATTTACTAGTTGATTTTCAAGAGTTGCCTCTACACATTCACACATCCAATCTGCCCTGCCTTTACTCTAGCTCTGACTTTTAACACTCAGCAGGCATTCAGTAAGAAGCAGAAGTGGGTGGGGTACAGTGCATTTGCGTAAAGAGATGAAATAACTGACATTGCTCCTGTGTGAGAATACTACTTCATTCCCTATGAAACAATATTCCTGTACACTGGCAAACCTCAGAACCACAAATACTGAAGCATAGAATCATAGGATCATAGAATCTTTTGGGTTAGAAGGGACTTTGAAAGATCATGTAGCTCCGACTCCCCTGCCATAGGCAGGGACATCTTCAATCCTATTGTTTGGTTTGAACAGGCAGTTCTTGAAGTTGTTAGCAACTCCTCTTCAAATTTTGGTGTGTTCTTTACTACATTTTTTCTAAATGTCTACACTGAATGTTATGTTTAATCACATTTATATACTCCTGTGGTTATAACACACAGCAATTTATGAGCTTATTTTTTTCAGTTCTTTCCCAGTGCAATGATGTAAATGTCTATGTAAGTGGGCAGAACACTGGAGAATTAGACCAATATATAATAGTGTACCAAATTTGACAACTGCTTCCAGCTGCATAATTTCAGAGAAGCTTTTATAAATAGATGGATTTTGCAAGGAAAAAAATATATTTCAAGCATGACTCATTTTTAATTACAAGAGAGAATGCAAAGTACTTGCTTTTAGTAAAATTAAAAGAGAAGAGAAACAAAAGGTATTTATGAAATGTCTTAGTGTCATAAGATTACAAGCATGACACTGAAAGCTAAGAGAAAAATCTAAGTAGGCTAGACAAAATCTTTTTTTTTCTAGAATGTTTTTCTTTTGAAAAAGCCTACAAGGTTTTTTTTGTTGGGGTTTTTTTCCTATAAACATTTGCTTGATTGTACTGACTCTAAGAATAGTAGGAATTGTTAGTTGAATGAATAAAATGATCATGAAATAAATGAGTACAAACATACAAACACTAATTGTTGCACTAGAATGTATCTGTTGTCAACCTTTGCAGGTTGTCTTGCAGTTGTACTGTTCCATTGGCCCCAAATGGTACTTACTGAACATTTTTTTTTTTTTGTTCGGACCATGCCAGTATTACACTGGCAGCATGAGGGAATAATGAGCTGCATTCTTTGGGTTACTGAAGAGTCAGCACAAATTGTGGGAACAAATAACAATCAGACAAGGCAGTGTTTTATAACATCAGGACTGCAATCCATCTTTGGGATCTTTCAAAGCTGGGCTAATAAAGGCCCACTTACAATCCCCAGCAGAGTACAGTTTAATTAAATTTGTCCATTAGAGGACTCCTCCCCCTCCCTTTACATTTTAGAAATTAATTCTGCTTTCTGCCTGTTGTTCTTTTTGCATCACAGATGCACTGAACCTTCGTAACCGACGGGTCATGTGCACCACACTGAAAATCCTCCAGCACCTGGTGGTGTCAGCTGACATGGTGGGGGAGGCCTTGGTGCCCTATCATCGACAAATTCTCCCAGTCCTAAACATCTTTAAGAATATGAATGGTGAGTTATACTAACAGACACTGTGTATTTCAACTCCAAAGGTAAAAAGGGGCTTGAGGCAGGGTTAATTAAGAACGTAGTTAAGATTTATTACTGTATATAAACTCAAATCCATTTGGAACTCTAAATAATGTAAACTCCCCCTCTTACTATTCCCTAAGGATGCACTGAAATTATCAATTTCATTTATTACTCCTTGCACGTACAGTTTATTTAACACAGTACAGAAGCACTGAAGCAGTTCTATAATCTTCCAATAATTAAATTGTAAAGTTTTGTAACAGTCTTCTGAATACATTAATAAATTGAAAAGGTTTTTTTCCTCCCTCCAACACATTAGTTCAGTCCAGCTATTTTATTCCATTCTGTGCTCTTCACAAGCAGTTCACTGCTACCAGAAGGTTTAGGAAAGATTAAAAATAAAAGTAGCAATCAAATTAATTAATTTTAGGGTCAAGAGAACTCCTTGTTGTAGAAAAATTTCAAGTTGCATAATGTCTAGCAAAACAGTGAAGTTTGAAGTTATTACTGCATGCTTAGCAAGTTTTATTATAGAGAAATTTAGAAGCAATTTGTATCTACAGTTAAGTATGTTGTTTTCTTTGTAGTGCAGGTCTCTATTGCCAGTTTCAGTCTTTAATAACTGGTACTGTGAGTACTGTATACTGTGAACACATTTACACCACAATCACCAGCTGAAATCAACACGATGTGTCTTGCTTTTGCCAAAGTAATCCTTAAAATATTTTTTATAGTAGATCTATCTGTACTTATCTGTTCAATTATCTACAAAGTTACTGACTTTAAAATTTCTGTTATTGACTGGCAGCCACATAGCTGAAAAGAAGTTAATTCCTCACAATCTTTCAAAAGAGGTTTCTCATTAAATTCACAGCATTTTAATAGTTCTCTGCAGGACTTCTTCCTATTATATTCTCTGTTTGCATTACTACAGAATACAATATCTTCACCATTTAGTGAGTATAAGATTCAGCTCAGATTGAAAGATGCCTATTCAAATACTGACTTGAAGGCTCAAATGAAACTTAGATTTTACATCCCTTTAAATACATGGACGTCTGTGACTTCGTTTTACTTAGTGAGAAACTTACAGTAACATGGAATTCCACAAATGCAGCATAGATCAGATGACAACTGGCTTTCTAGAAGTCGTGGGATGAAAGGTCATGGGTGAAATCTGTAGGCTGAACTTAAGTAATTTCAGTAGGTCTCCTTATGAATTGGAAGATTCTGCCTTAACAAATACAATTCCAGTATCTGGAACAAAGCAAGACTGTAAAAAGGACTCTTATTAATTAATGAATATACCATATATGCTTTTTTCCACATTTCATCCTGAAGGATCACATAAATTCTCTTGACTAGGCTTTTCTACAGTGATTTCAGATGAATAATAGGGAAAGCTCATGTGTAACAAGGTACATAGCTTAGGAAGTCATTAAACAAAATGCATAAGATCTGTGCTATGTGAGTTTGTGCCCATATAAAACTACACTAAAACATGATATTTGACATTTAAGAATTAAACCTCCCAGAATAAATTAAAAGTAATAGTTCAAAATTAATTAATGTTATTAAGTCATTACTTTTTTTAGAAACAAAAGTTCTGAATTTTCTGTATTACCAGGAGTGAAATGGATACTATTTGCAAGGCCAACCATATGAAACTCTCTAGCTTATTCAGTGCTTGCATGTGGGTGATAAGGAAAGATTCTACCTCTGTCTCCTCCTAACTCAAGAAGGTTGTATTTCTTTCCAGTTTCACTGGTGGTTGACAGAAAATATATGCTCCTTCTTCCTTCTCCTTTCTATCTCCTATAAGCTTATAGGCAGCTGACATGCAGGTGTTTGCTTCCAGTTATAAGGAAGGTGTAGAGACTGATCCAGGCTATTTTCTCCACTGTTTGTTCATACAGGTGAAAGATGGGGTGAGCAGAGCATACACTCTTCTTCCTTCTTTTCTCTATAACTTGAGAAAGGAGGAACTGTGATACATCTTCCAGGAGTTGTATGAATTGCAGTCTATTAAGTCAGACAGTGTGGAAGCTTGTCCAAAATTAGGTTAGCTGGAAGTAGCTGTGTTTTAGTCATTGCCACCTCACTAGTTCAGTATCTAT